ACGGTGACAATTTTGTAATTATTGAGAAGTCTCGTGGCGTTTATGAATGTTCAGATCTGACGATTGTAGATCTAATCCAATGGTTGAGAATTGGTATTACGGGTCTCACAAAAAACCATTGGTCTCACATGATCCCAAGTATATATATATGTATATATATATATATATATATATGAGATATTAATTTCTTTTGAGATTCTTTTGGGCAATTCGTGAACAACATTTTCAACTGATTTTCTATAAAAAAAAAAATTTAATAGGGAATCAAAAGTTAAAATTTTTAAAAAAAATTACATTTAACTCCAATAGATTTTATATTTTAGAGATTTTAACATAAATTATTATTATTATTATTATTATTATTATTATATTCTCTAATTTAACATGTCAATGCACTTTCTAAAAAACTATATAAAATAATAATAATTTAATCTCATTGAACTATATATCGTTTCTCATTGAATATATATCGTTTTTCATGTCTTCTCTATTTTAGAAGAACATTACAGATAATTTGTTATAGCAACATAAAAAATAAATTATTTAATTTCTCTATTTTAAATAATTTGTTGGAGATGCTCTGCTATAAACAACAAATTATATTAAGTTGATAGTTAAATTAGGAAATTTGCTATTTTAATAATGTTGAATTAAAATTAAAAAAGGGCATTGTGGGTATTTGTATAAATCCCCTCTCTCCTACCCATTATCAAGGTAACCAAAAAATTAGTTTACTCATGAACACAACTATGAACACCAAATAATTCAACAGAATTAAACGAAGCCTATATCTTGTAAACATCAAGTGAACATTGTGAACACAATATGAACATATTGTGGATCTGCGAGATCCAATATAGTTTGTGATCATATTCTGAACGCCAAGTAACCTAATAAAACTAAAATTAAACCTACCACTTGTGAAACACATTGTGAACACTCAAAAACCTATGAACTGTGGATACGACCAAGGTGCCAATGTTTTTTTGGACTTTGAGCGGGAAAGTAAGAAGTGGTCGTTGCCGACGTGGTTCGTCGAAGTTTAACAAGGGTCGATGCGCGAGGTCATGAAGGGTCACGAAGGACAAGTCACTTTAATGGTTTCCTCGAGTTAAGTTGACTATGCCTAGGGTTCATGGGGGCATCTGGACATCAACTTCGATCTTGTTGGAGGTTGTTAGTGTGAGGATTAGGGCTATAAACAAACCAAACATTTAACAAACCGTCCGGACGAATGTGAATACGTTTTTGTATTCGTTAGTGAATGAACATGAATAAAGGTCTCGTTTGTTCGTTTACATTTATTCATTTATATTCGCTTACGTTCGTTTATATATATAAATATACTTATATATTATGACACTAATATGTAAAATCATTAATTAAATCAAATGTTTAGAATTTTTTTATTTTTTAGAAACAAAATGATGAGTAAGGGTGGTTGCTTTATGTTCATTTGTGTTCATTCGTTTATGTTCATTTATGTTTGTTCGTTTAACATCTTAATAAATGAACATGAACACGAAAAAACACATTTTCTTAACGAACGAACATGAACACAAAATTTCATCCATTTAGCGTTTGTGTTCGTTCATTTGTTCAGTTAAGTTAAACAAATGAACACGAACAAACCTCCGTTCGTATTCATTTGGTTCGTTTACAGCCCTAGTGAGGATTGATGGAGAGAAGGGAGAGAGAGAGAGATTAGGGTCCTATAAGGAGTAGTTTTGTTATTTTGAGTAATGAATTTTACCTAAATAATGGATAACCGAATTAATTGTGGTTCAGTTATTTAATACGATAAAAGAAATTATCATAGACCTTGGAATGAAGTTTCTTGAAGAGGGTTTCGAGTTTAAAGTAAACAAATCTTCAAAAACCAGATAGGAGGTTGTATGTGTGCGAGAGAATTGTGGTTGGCGTATCATGGAGGCCTCCGTAAAAAAAAGCAAGATGTTTAATGTATGAAGGTTGGAGGACTTACACACTTGTACAAAGACCCAAATGCATTGCAGTCGCTGTTAAGCAAACAAAAAGGTATTGGGTCATATACTGAAAGGTAAATTTCTAGATACTAGCTAGGTTCTTCGGCGACATGACATTGTACACGATATAAATGACCAGTACAAAATTACTATTAGGTACCCCCAAGATTGACGTGGAAATGTAATGCACTAAACATGGTGAAGGGCAGGCCTGAGAAGTCGTTCACTCGACTCCTTGGAATTTTCTAGAATATGAAGCTCCAAAATCCATGGATCGTCACCAGAATAAGAACAGATGAGAGATGACGTTTTGAGATGTGTTTTGCTGCCCTTATGATATATGGTTGAAGATGATGGCTCGGTACTTGAGGATGGTGGATTTTTTTATTTAAGGTTTTTATTTTACTTTTTTAAAATAAGAAATAAAAGAAAATGGTAAATTGACCATAAAGCCCCTCATTTAAATGAAGTTAATAGAAAAGGTTAACTATCGCTAGACAGAGGGACCAAAATCATTGTGAAATGAAGCGTGAGTAATCAAATCCGAGTTTCCAAAGTTTAGAGACATTATTCGTTTGAAATGACAAACGTTAGAGACTAAAAGTGAAGTTTACTCTAAGAAAAATAAACCTGTATTTTTTTTCAAAAAAATTGTTATATATATATATATATATATATATATATATAGGGGAGCGTTCAAATAAAAATCACTCAATTTGTAAAAACCGTGAAAATCTCATTCAACCAATCATAATTTTTCATTTTTTTAATTTTTTTGGTAATTATGAGAGGTTGATTGACCATTTTTATTGTGTAAGGTGTTAATCATGGATATTATCATCTTCATTATTTTAAATTTAGAGAAATAAATGAAACAG